TCGATCAGTCTGCAAAACGAAAGCATTAAAGCAGGACGAAAGAAGTAATGCCGGCCGCATCCAAGTTTCAAGTAACAAAGTTTCTGAAAAAATTGCGATATCTGTTTGTAGATACCGGAAGTGATTTAGATGTTGTTGGGTAGCAAATGCTCGAGAACAATAACATGTTGGAAAAAAACTTAGAAAGGTTTCGCAGCGAGCCGAAGCTGCCGATAACAGGAAACTTCACCCAATTTGTAGTGTGGATGCAACTTTTAATTTATGTGGCTCAAAAGACTCGCGAAAATTCGTAGCGCTCAAGCTGTCGCTTGAAAATTGTCCTTTCTACAATTAGAAAATTTCCCTTTCAGCCCGCGATAAAAATTTGCAAACAATTGTTAGCCAGCCGCTTTTGGTCTGTCAAATGGAGAAGATTAGAAAAATTATCCGATTTTGCCGATGTGTCGATTTAAAAAAATTAAATGTGATGGGAGCGAACGCGGTTCACATCATATCAAAGGAAAATGCAAGGCCTTTTCAAAAGACAGCGGGTAGGACAATTCATGTTTTTTTTTGCCAGCAAACCTAATCATAAGTTGACCAAATGGATGAGCAGAAAGTTATTATGCTGGAGGATAAAATATCCAAGTGTTGTCATCCAATAGTGATTATCAGCAAAAAGGAATGCAAAAGCACATGAAAACTTTTAAAATCAAAATACACAGTCAATTCGAACGAAATCTCCAACGAAGACGCAGAAAATTGCCATAAATGGTGTTGAATACTTTTCTACACTCGAAGCTAAAAATCAGTAACTTACAAGCTCCTCTGGGCGTTGAATCCAAGCAATTGGGGTCGTGGTTGGTTTTTATGAAATACAATAGGTATCATCCAGATGGCAATGATTTCAATTTACGTTTGGTGATGCGTTGGAAGGAATTTTCGGACTTGAAAAAGTTGTTGACGAATGCGTTGTCTTGACTATTCAAAATGAAAAACACAAGGAGCAGATGCGTGAAGTCATTGAAAGTTGCTGCAAGCACGGTGTAACATTATCAGCGAAAAAAAGTTGCTTCGGAAAGGCCAAAGTAAGTTTCTGCGGCTTTGTTTTGAATAAAATTGGTTGAGTAGTTGATCGGGCGAAAACAGAAGCACTCCAGGAGTTCTTATAATTTTTTTTTGCTTCCAACGGCCATTTTTGGATTTTCGGGAAACATACCAAAACTTACTAACCTCTGCGTCCAAGGTTAAAAAAATTCAGTCTTTTCAATTGGGAATATTTTTATCGAGAAGCATTCATGGTAGTATGCGGAGAGCAGCCAAAGACTCCAGTTTTGGCTTTTTTTATCCCAATGCTTAATATAACCTAAAAACAGATGCAGCTAGTGTTGGTGGCCGAGGATATTTGCTATCACAAAGATCTGTCGGCTGCTCTTTTTCCTTTCCCTCGCCTCACTGAAACATGAATTTTATGGTCTAACGAGTGGTTTTACAAGGTTAATTATGAAGACCAAATATGTTTGTCATGGCCTAGTTAGTCTGCATGTCAATTTTCATGACAATCGGACGAAGTGAACAGTAACTTCAAATATAAAAATTTGCAAGTGGCGGGGGGGAAGGAAAAAGAGCCCTGTCGGCAACAAATAGAAGCTTTCTAGTTCCGTTACGCAATGATAGATCATGAAATAGATCCAGAAATCCGTTGTGCAATGATAGAAAGGCGATGTAGTACAATATGGGCGCGTCCTGACTGGGGGACGTAGTGGGCGTTAACAAAATCAGTAGTAAAGTAGAACTGGTCAAAAAAAGTCGAACACGAACAAGTTTTTTTTTATCGCCAAATGATTTGATTGTCGGATTTTTTGCTTGCAAAACTGTAAAACAGCTGCAAATACCAAGCTAATCCAGTATTTTTGTTTTTTAATGTGCAGCTAGCTAGAACAGCATATTTGCTGATCGTATAGATACATACATACAAACATACATACATACATACATACATACATACATACATACATACATACATACATACATACATACATACATACATACATACATACATACATACATACATACATACATACATACATACATACATACATACATACATACATACATACATACATACATACATACATACATACATACATACATACATACATACATACATACATACATACATACATACATACATACAAACATACATACATACATACATACATACATACATACATACCTACATATATTTATACATACATATGAATTATGCCTTTTTTAAAGACCTTGACACTTAATTTCAACCAGGTAAATTTAAATTTTGGAGCTTTTAGCATTATTTTGGAAACAAAAAAAAACTCAAAAAATTTCTACAGAAAAAAATTGAAAGTTTTTCTTCTAACTTTTTTTTGTTTTCGCAGGCATTTTTCCACATATATTTTTTTCCAATTTGCCCATTTTACTATGACCGTCTAGTATGCCTAAATTTTTATTTTACTTCAGTTTTTATTCCGCCAAGCAGAAAAAACTACACACATTTTGATAAAAAAAACGTAGTTTTCTAAAGAATATGGTAGGAATATTCTGTGCTGCTTGCACAAAAAACTGACTATCCTTCATTCATTTGCGAACAATTGGCACAACTCAGTCGAACACTTTTAACTTGCTATCATTGGAAATTATATCAAAAAAATCTGAATTACTGTTTTATGAAGTGTAAGCGTATTTCGAACACCGAGAACTCTCAGACAACTCTCTTTCTTGGCGTTGAGCACAAAGCAGTTGCAATGAACGTGGGCGTATTAAAAAGGGCACCGTTGAAATTGTTAAAAATCAATGCCACTTTCCCGGACCGGGCTATTACGAAAAACGCAAGGTCAGGAAAGCGCTTAAAGATCGAGCAGCAGTTTCGGATGTAACACCACGGCAGACTATTTTGCAGCCCAGCAATGTGTTAACCAGTAAACAGCTCTTCATTTACTAAGATACTCAGCTAACCAACAAGATGCAAATAGAGTTCGTCGCAAAAAATACCGAAGATGGCAGAGCCAATTTCGCTGACTGGATTTGAAGTACCTTTGGCCCTACAGAAAACTCACGATTGGGAGCATTTCAATTTACACAATTCTAGTCCCTAAGATCGGCTTATTGTGATTGCCACCTTACCTGGGCTAAGTATACACGGATTATCAGATGATTGGTTCTGCGATGGAACGTTTTCGACTGCTCCGAATGTAAATTAACAATATTGTACAATACACGTTTCAAATGAAGAATGTATTGAGTCTCCGCTTATGTTCTGCTTCACGATAAAAAAAATCAACTTATTGTTGGCTTCTCAAGGTCCTAACAATTCAAGGAGAAACAAAAAATGGCCAAGATTTTACTTTAAAAAATGACAGAACCAACCAAAAAGATTAAATAACAAAAATTCAAGAACAATTGCTTGACTATGATTAGTTGATATCGACCCAACGATAGATAAAGCCGTTTAGTTATAACTTTAATTTATAACATAGGTTTATTTTGTTTTCACTTTTTAAATTTGTTCAATATTGCCAAGCAATAAAACGTTACAGGTTCAAATAACTTTGTTTTTTCAAAATTGAACTTGATTCGATTTGAAAGCGGCAAAAAAATTGGATACATTCAAGGTGTTGGTTTTTCCCGCGCGCTCAACTCTCGTAGTTTTTGCCTATTTTTTGTACCCGACATATACCTGTTTCATATTGACCCGAATTTCATTTTTTTTGGAAAATTGAAAAAGTTGTAAGCCGCCGGGGGTTTGAACTATTTGATTTTTAGGGTTTGACTATTTCTAGGCTTTAACCACTATACCATGCAGCTTTCGATTTTGATCTGATTTATTGTTCAATTGTTAATCTTTACCTTTCAATTACGCTCGTGTTTGATAGTTTAAAGAGTGAATGAATTCTGTTAGCGCCAAAAGATCAGTGTAAAAAATTTCTTCAAATAGTTTTGGCCTGTTTTTGTATGGGACTGTTTTGTAGGGACTGTTTTCTATGGGACTGTTTTGTATATGCACCTTTCGCACTAAGTTCGCACTGATCAATATCTCATATATGATAATTTCCCACATCCAACCCGATGAAAAGTTTCAGAAGAAGTAGCTATAAAAATGAAGGAAATAATGTTTTTCTTTTAGTTTGTAGTAGAGATTGGGAACATTCCTACGATATTTTTGCTGTCCAAAATGACTCAAGTTTTAGTCTAGAAAAGTCATATTCTCAGATATAAAAAGTAGTCCGAATTTAATAAAACAAGGTACACGACGTTTTGAAAAAGTTCAAAATTTCTAGTGCATTTTAATATCTCCAGTTTTTTCAGGTCAAATCAGCTTGCTTAAAAATGACGTAGATGCATCTTATTTGGAAAAACACCGTCGATGCCAGCTCACGCGAAAACACAACAAAAAATCTCTAGTTGCAGAGGAAAAACGGTGTAGGAAACATATTTTTTATACAATGCTCAAAACATCAGCAAATTGCATCACTAAAACAACTTGGAAAATAGCTCAAGTTGATCTGTTGCTCTGTTTCGAACAGAAAAGAATACATCTTTAAACATCTCGTCAATTGAACAAATTTGACAAAAGATGATTTCAAAACTGTACGTTATTTTGGATGTGATTCGAACAAGATTTGCTACCATAAATTTTCTAAAGAAATTCCTAAAACACAGAAAAGTAGCAAAAAGATTTTTCATTCTTAGATCTCAAAAAATCAAATTGATCGACCTTAAAACGTTCGGCAGAGCTCATATCCCTTTTCTCGTAGTAAAAATCTTTAAGACTTTTGCTGACTTTGACTCTTATATTGTACGCCGTATGCTTGTCAGCTAAAAAAATCAGATTATTCTGTATGTTAAATTATATAAGAATTACGCTCAAAATCGAACAAAAACAAACAGTTTTCGATTTTCATTACAAAATATGTATGAGCTCAACGTAATATAATTTCGTGATAAAAAACTAGTCGTTCATCAATCAACAAGCAGAACAAAAACTATACAATAGTTTTCAAAGCTTTTCACAGCTTTTAAATCTGCACAAAAAAAAACATTTGTAATTTTTGTATTTAGTTAACCAAAACTGTATCAATATTATAATCATTATTATTAAACTTTAAGTGATTTTATAACGAGAATGGAGTTCTTGGAAAATTCAATCGCCGATGAAAAAGCACCAGACGTTGAAACAACGCCGAAATTTGAAGATCTTCCAATCGGAATGGAAACTTCAGGCATGATGTCTGTTCACAACTTGAGTTACGTAATAACCTCGGGACCTCCTTTCAGACATGTGACTAAAACAGTATTACGTAATGTCAATGGCGTTTTTAAGAATGGCATTAATGCAATCATGGGACCGACAGGCGCTGGAAAGTCGACCTTGCTTGACCTTTTGTCGAATCGGAGGGACTTAAGAGCGGCGAGGGGGAAGGTTCTAATTGATGCGGAGCCGCTGGGAGACGATTTTAACCTAAGAACCGGGTAAGCTCTATGTATTGATTTTATGTAAGATCATAATTCAATATGGATGTATACGAATTGCTGTTCATTTTTATCATATTTAAAAACGTATAGAACTACATCAGAGCCAATATAGAGAATTTAACAACCTAATTTGAAGTGGTTTTTGTTATTTATTACAAATTAAATTGGAAATGCTTAACAGCTCTAAAAAATGGGTTTTAAACACCAAAAAAGTTTAAAATTGAGCTACATGTTATCAAAGCAATTAGTAAGAAACTTGAAGCATTAGAGGTTTTCTGAAGTTACAGACTTTTCGTCTTATTTGAGCTGTAAAAACGGTTTTTTGAGAGAAATTTTTTTTATCGTAAATAAAATGTGTGGTTCTCTTTTGCGCATAATCCAGAAAAATTATTGGCATTTTTTTCAGTATTTGACATATTGTTTCGCTAAACACATAATCAAAGAAGTAATCGTTCGCTTTTCTGATTCGAGGTTTTTCTTGCTGAAATAGAGACGTTTTTAAGTTTGTCTCAGAAAAAAAAACTCGTTTGTCTCAGAATTTTTTTCTCATCAATCTACATCTTAAAAAACTACATCGAAAACTACATCTTAAAAATTTGCCAGTAGTTTTTTTCCAGTGCCCAAATTTTTCTTCGATGGTTTTTCGTGATTCGTTTACTCTGTGATTTATCCTTCCTTATAAATGAACACAGGGCTGCTTTTCACGGAACCCCGGTTGTTAAAAAGGAAACTTGTTTTGAAGCATTTATCTACCAAATCCTTGCTTATTGCAGATTGTAGACAGGGGCGGATCTAAGATTTTCTCAAAAAGGGGTGAATTTTCAAAAAAAATTTCGATAGCACTAAAAAGACGGTGTTTTGGCCAAATTTTCTGCGCCGCAGGCAAATTTTTGAAAAAAAACAGGTGAAAAAGCCGTTAATGGGCAATTTTTGGAAAATTTTGACAAGTTTTGACAAAAAAAAATGCTTTTTTTGGCGCGCGCTCCCCCTCAGAATTAGTATATATTGGCGCCAAAGGCGCCTTTACAAAAATTATACGGCCGGTAAAAAAAAAATGGATTTCCTAAAAAGCATCAAAGGGAGGACCCTTTGGGTCGGCGGGGGGTCGAATCCCTAAGAAAAGGGCGTTCGCCCCCGCCCCCGCCCCCGCCCCCCTAAATCCGGCCCATAATTGTCGACAGCTTAGGTTAAAAAAATGAGTGATCGTTTTAAATAATTTTTCAAAACAGTACGACTCTTTTGTTAGATAGTTGCAACTGCAAAATTTCCCCATCTAGGCAATTGTAAAAGCAAGGCTCATTTTGGTAGATACGGGAGTTCTAATTTATTCGTTTTAGTTAAACAGTTCAAGTATAACTTATGTATTGGTTGTAAAGTTTCAAACTTTTTTTCTTTTTTTTTAGCAGAAATATGTCTTCGTTTTCAATTTAGTCATTTATTATCATGGGTACTATACTGTCTCGTGTAATCCAACAGTTATTTTTTAACCTTTTTATTTTTTGTCCGTCTATAATGTTGAAACGAAACGCTTGCTTGTATTTTTCTTAATATATTGTTTTGATTACTGAAGTTTATGGCTCACTTTAAACAGATTAGAAACATGTCGCAAGACTTGATCGTCTCCTGCCATTTGTTTCCAATTAGGTAAACGACCTAACACTATTGTTTGTTTTTTTTTCGAATCAACTGGGAATTTACTATCGTTTTTAGGAAATAACAGCCAGAGCAAAAGGATTAATTGGGCTGTAGTAGTTAATTTTTTGAAATTTCATCTCAATCAGTATTTATTTTCTATTAAAAAAAGAACCAATTCCGCTGAAATTTTGTGGTGGGGTGAGAATTCGATAATGACTCAGCACGGTAAAGTCCAATGGATACCAAGAAATTACCAAATAGTTTTTTACTCAGTTTGTGTTTTTTAAAAATTGAATTGTAAGAACAGATTGAGCAAAGGCACATTCATTCTTATGATTTTTAATTCAAAAAAGAAGTACTCATTAGTAATTAAGAAAATTTTTAATATCAAAACGAAAAATTTTTTAAAACTGATCATCTTGATTTCTGTTTTTTAGAGTCTTTATACTTTTGGCCATATGAAAAAAGGTTGTAACCCGTTTTTTTTAGACTTTTTTTACTTTTTCTAGAAAAAATGGTTGTGTAATTAATTGTTACGAAGTAAAAGTTTTTGCTCATGTATTTCAGTTTTGTCGCGCAAGAGGATATCGTAATGGGCACTTTGACAGTTCGTGAAAACATTCTTTTCGCTGCCAATCTCAAAATGGCCGTCAGCTCAAAAGAAGACAAGAAAAAGTGCGTGGACGAGATTGTTCAAAGCTTGGGCTTAGAAAGGTGTGAAAACACCCGAATCGGGAATGAATTGTTCCAGGGAGTTTCGGGTGGAGAGCGGAAACGGTGTTGCATTGGGATGGAATTGGTCACAAAACCCAAATTTATCTTTCTGGGTAAGACTTCTTTAAATGACACTACACTAAATGAATGGTATACGACTTCATCTGTTGTAGCTCGATATTTATCGAATATTTTTACCAAAACTTAAAATGTGTAATTTAAGTGAAAATTCGGTGATATGATTAAAATTTATCAAGAATCCTTTTCAATTTGATAAAAACAAAATTAGCAAGAAAAAATGACTTTTTTTCCGGCTCAAAATAACAAAAAATATCGAAATATGGAAATGAAAAAAATTTAGCAAAAAATGGAAATGATGAAATTAGTGACTATAAATCCCATTTTTTGACTTTCAGACGAGCCAACCACCGGTCTTGACTCATCAACTGCCCTGTCTGTGATCTCACTTCTCAAAGACATCTCGACCAATCACAATTCGACAATCATTCTGTCCATTCATCAACCTCGATACTCCATCTTCAAATATTTCGACTTGGGTGCACATAAGTTTGATAGATGGGTCCCAAAATTAAAGGAAAATAAGGATGAAAATAACAAAAAAGACCACGCTAACCCCCCAAAAAGAATTGCACCTTGATCTAGCAGGGAAAAATTGGCATACATTTTTTTTCTACTTTAAATATAACTTAAGTTTGGTTAAAACTCCATGAGGGAAAATGAAACAATTTTTTAAAATTTTTTCGGCAACTACGAGGCAGGCTGAACAAACTGGACTTTTTTTCAATCCTCATAGATAATACAATAAAACTTTGGAGATGCTTTTGAAAAATAAAATAGGGGCTCTTTGTTAAGTTTCGCTCTGTCCAACTTGTTTTTGTCTGAAGATCTTTAAGATTGTGGCAGTTTTGTAGTTATTGGGATCTATCTACCAAACTTCTTAAACCCGCATTTAGTTCATTTATTGTCCTGCTTCGGCCAATCAATTTATCATGGACCCGCTGTCGAAGCTGTCTCGTATTTTGCACGACACGAAATGGTTTGCGATCGACGCGAAAACCCTTTCGACTTCTTCTTGGACTTGATAATTGCCAATTCAAAATTGGGCCCTTGGGTTTTTGAAACTGATGATTTACTTACCCAAAATTTTGACGAAAAGAGCAAAAAAGAAGCAAAAACATGCACACAATTTGACACAAAGGAGAGCAAAAATTTGGTCCATATTTTTCAACAATCGCAAGAATTCAACAACTTGAGCGAGGAGCTTTCAGTTATTGAGAAACTTTCAACAATCGAAGACAAAGTTTCAAATAATCGGGATAGTTTCAAATCAGCAACAAATTTATTGCAACAATTTCGATATTTGTCGCAAAGGTCACTAACTAATGTCGCGTTGTCGCCACGTGTTGTCATTATACCGACAATAGTGTCATTTCTGCTAGCTTGTGTTTTCGGCTGGCTGGGAAGAGATTGGAAATTCGATTTAATGGGCTTCGAAAACTTATACGGCGCTTTATTCTTCATGGTTATTCAGCCAGTTATGGGAAATTTTCCTGCAATTGAAATACTACTAAACGGGCAGAAATTTTTCCTTCACGAAACAGCGAAAGGATATTATTCGGCCTTTCCATATTTGGCCTCAAAATTTCTAAGTGAACTTATTTTACTGTGCGGAATTCCAGCGTTGGTGTTTTCAGTTTTCGGTTACGTAATTCTGAGACTAAAACGCGAACTTATTCCATTTTTCGTGTTCGTTGGTGTGAACGAATTAGGTTCACTGGCGGCGTGTTCTTTGATCTTTTTCATCACAGCTTCGGTCGGAAATTACGGAATGGCGACTGCCATAATACCCGGAATTCTGGTTGTTATGCTTCTATTTTCCGGACTTTTCCTTAATTTGGCGGATTTGCATTCCTTATTCAAAGTTTTTGAGTATCTTAGCATCCCGAAAAATATGTTGTCCCTACAAGCAAGTTTCCAACTTACAAATACGCAGTTTTGTGGGATTCGAAATTTCACCCTCCCAGAAAATCAAAATTCTTTGATTGCAAATAAATCCCAGTTCTCAAATTTCTACGGTTGCGAAACTGGAGAGCAAAGATTGGAATCGATAGGTATTGGGATCGAATCCTTAGAACGACTGAATTATTTTATAATTTTAGCTCTTTTTCCCATTTTACTATTTCCGTTGACTTATTTCATACTTCGAGTCAAATCAAGACGCAAATTGTAAAATGTAATGATGAAAACGTTGGAAATTTAAAATTTGACAAATGCTTTGTAGTGTAAATAAAAACCAATAGCGAGCCGAGGGAGGAGAAAGGCGACCTTCTCCCGATTCTGGTTGCCAAATTTCCCAAAGGGTCCTTTTTTGCTATAGCTTTACGACATCCATTTGGCCGACCAACCTCAAATTTTTCTAAGGGTGCCTTCGGCGCCCATATAACTAATTTGAAGGGTAGCGAGCTCCAAAAAATATCCGCTAAATTTTCAAAATAAAAAAAAAACAAATCCCCCCAGAAAAAATTTATATATACAGGGACGGATTTAGCGGGGAAGGGATTCGACCCCCTGCCGACCCAAAACGTTCCCACTTTGTACTATTTTGAGATATCCATTTTTGGTGACGTGCCCTAAAATTGTTCTAAAGGCGCCTTCGGCGACAATATATAATCATTTTGAGGGGGGAGCGCGCGCTGAAAAACACTATTTTTTGGTCAAAGTTTTCCAAAAAAAGTCTAAAAACTTCTTTTTTGGCCCGTTTTTTTTTCAAAATTTTGCTTGCGGCGCAGAAAATCTGGCAAAAACAGGATCTTTTTGGTGCTTTGGCAGAGCTCGGAAAATCAATTTGGTGGACCTAAAAAAATACAAGGTTCCGCCCCCTTCGAAAATATCCTAGATCCGCCCCTGTAAAAATATCTACAGGGGCGGATCTACAGGGGCGGATATATTTGATCTTGCTTGAAATTTTTTTTTCTTGTTTTCCTTTTCGAATTTTTTTTAAAAGTCGCCAAGAAGCCAAAATTAAATTTACTGGAATTCAGTAAAATTTCCTTGGTTCAATTAGATTTGTAATTTATATGAGATCTATTCGCTTGCTTTAATAGCTCGAAATTAGACTAAAACTCAATTTTAAACCACAAACAGAAAACTTTTTGAAGTTTTCTTAAAGCAGCTCGAATCACTACTGAAAAGGTTTATAATGATATATCACTTGATGCATTTCGATATTTATTTGTCCAATTGATTGACTTGATTCTGCACGAATAAACTTGAAGCACAGAACCTAACCGAAGACATAGTTCTTCTCCACGATCAATTGTCGGAACAACAATTCTTTTCAATGTTTTTTAAATATGTTCAGGCTACAGTGATACAAAATTATCCTAGAAAACTTCATTTTAATTTGCTGTTAAAACCACTTGAGGTGACAATTCCAGAGATTAGATTTTTCCATTCCCGGCTACACTTCCCTGTAGTTGTAAATTAGCCGTATAAGAAGAAAAATATTTGACCTACTTTTTCTCAGTACTTCAAAAAATTTAATGATTGCCCACTATAGCAGAAACTGTTTACTTTTATACCCATAAGCTGAGAGAACTATACGAACGCGTACAGTACAGTGTTAGTGGTTTAGTCATAACCGAAAACTTTTGTCTTCGAAAGATGAATAAAAAACAATCAATGAAAAAAATTGTATCGTCCTAAATTGTCTCTATCTTTTCGTATAAAACTTGTTTTGAGTAGAAAATTTCAGTTTTTCAGAATTTGAATGAAAAGTGTTGTTTTGCGAGACGCACTCGCTCGCTTTATTTGCACTAATTTAGACTAAACTCAATTTTAAACCTGCTTCTCTCGACACTGGGGAAATTCAAAAAAAATAATGTCGTTTTTTAAAGATTTTGTATGTATACCCTCAACCCATTCTAATGACTATTTGTGGGACATGATTTTGCACGGAAACAGAAAACAAATTGAAAAGCGCCAAAATATAAAGCTCCTCCCCCGTTACAATGGTCGGAATAAAAACAAGGACAGTCGGTTGATGTCCAAGTAGCCGAAAAATTTCGCCCACAAAAACAGTAATCACAAAAAATGTCTTTTGGCCGTTGAAAACGATGAAAAATTTTGTATTTGGGTGCGTTATTTTTTCATTCTGTTCCCACCATTGGAAATGGGGAGGAATTTTGTATTCGGGTGTGTTTTAGTTTTTCTTTTCTTCTTTTTTTATTCCACGCAACATAGCTGGCACACAAAATCAATGGAGTCGGCCGAGTGATACATCATATTAAACATTTTTCAGTAGTAATGCAAACAAAAAAGAAAAAGTTTCAAAACATTGTCCCAATGTTGAGAGAAATTAAATGAAAATGCATTAGCTTTTGTTCATTTGTGAGCTTTTGTTCATTGTTTATCTAGATATAATGAGTCGGCTCGTTTGTTTTACAAACGAGCCGACTCATTATATCTAGATAAACAATAAATTTTTTATTTAAGCCCTGAAATTTAATTTACTCCGGTAGATTTCTGTTTGAAGTATTTTACCAATATTTCGGAGATTGAAACATCAAAAAACCAAAAAAGTTAACAGTTTAGTTTTCTAATCTTTTTTGCCTTGAGTATCGAATACTTTTGTTCTAGAGTTTCCTTAGATTACTTGACGGACCACGTAGATTGCTTTTTTAAAAAATGGTCGGCACATTCTGTGCTACTTGAACACCAACTGGCTACTTTTTTTTTCCACGCAAAATCAGTTTAGATCACTTAGATCGCATTTTTAAAAAATTGTTTGGCACATTTTGTGCTACTTGCACACCAATTGATTATCCTTGCTTTTTTTGTTTTCCACACAAAATCAGCTAGCTAGAAAAATTAACAAAATGGCTTTAACTTGATATTTCATGTTAAAACCCTCTCAGTGTAAATTCGCACGACATTAAAAAATTTCAAATAATAGTCTAGTTTTGAGCAGTACAGCGATGGAGTACGTTGATTATATGAAAATGGGTCCAAGAAAGCTTGAATTTATTGAAAGGAAAACTAAGTTATTAAACTTTTTTAAGAATTTTCATGGCAATGAATTTTTTTTCTTATGAAAATTTTTGTAAAAACAAATTAGAAAAAATTTTCAAAAGTTTTATAATTTTTTTTGTTTAGTTAAAAAGCAATATTTTGCTTGAATACCTGCGTTTCTTTGCTTGAATAGCCTGCTTACAAATATCTAAAAGTTTTCGCGAGCTAAGTTGCTCTATCAATTAATTTCAGAAAAAAATCATAGTGGTGGGACTGGAAAAGAGCCAAATTTTGATCTGCAGCTCAAAAGAATTCGCCAAGATAATGCAACGTGTCTGAATGATCTAGTTTATATAAAAACTCAAAACGGAAATCAATTGAAAGTCTTCGGTGTTCCTCTGTTTTCTTTACCAAAAAAGAGGGTAGAAAATATTCGCACGGATTTGGGTCTCTTTTCGGAGTCTTTGACTCAGGGGTGGATTTAGAGGGGGCTTGGGAGGGCGGACGCCCTTCTTTCAAGGAGTCGACTCCATGCCGACCAAAACGGCCCTCTTCGTACTAATTTGAGATATCCATTTTTGGCTGACTGACCCTAAACTTTTTCTAAAGGCATCTTTGGAACCAATATAGATATAATTTTATTCGAGGGTCGAGCGCGCCGTAAACACGCAATTTTTTGGTCAAAATTTTTCAAACCTTGCCTAAAAACGCCTTTTTGGCCTGTTCCTTTTCAAAAATTTGCCTGCGTCGCCGAAAATTTTGTCAAAATTGGGTTGTATAGTGATTTGGGAGTGCTGAGAAAAGCAGTTTGGTCGAGGTGATAAAGGTCGTTTTTTGAAAATCCGCTCCCTTGAGCAAAGTCTTCTGCTTTCAAAAAAGTCAGTCAGGGTTTCAAATTACTACTCGTGGGTTGAAGGCATGATTTGGAACCAATAAACAAAAACAAGTTTGAAAAAGTGAATTTTTTAGCCACTTTTCATTACATTTTTTTTTGGTCCTAAAATTTGATGCAACAATTTGAAAAATATAACATATTTGTTTTTTTTTCATTTCGAAGATATTACCCCCAAATGCGATGTAAAATACGCTTGTTTTTGTCCGACTCATCTCAATTATAGCTGTTTAACTTATTATAGGGTGCAGTATTTACTGAGGGTTTAAACAGGGATCATGAGTGGCCTGTGACTTTGTGGCGCTCCAAGAGTAATGGTGCCCAGCAATCATATAATTGCTTGTTCAAATTGCACATGGTTGTGCAATCAACAAGGTGAGCTCTAGCAAGTAAGTTATAGCTACAAAATTTATCCTTCGGGTTAGTAGGGCTCCGGGTTGATCGCTGATCGACTAAAAAATTATGAATTAGTTATTATCTAGGGAGAACCTACACAAAGAAAAATTAGTAATCAAGTTGCAATGGTGTCATCTTAGTTTTTGAATTTATGAAATATCTCGGAATCTGAGATTAAACTAGCTTTTTTTGTGATTAAGATTAATGTTAAGTTTAAAACGGTTTGTTTACAAGGAAAAAAACAACATACAAGCTTCTCAGCTCTTGGCGGAAATCCGCTGCTGTGCCCTTGGTTAAGATATACCAACAATTTTTCAGAGTTGTTTTTACGGGCTGGGTAATGTTGCTTCACCCTCAAGCAACGAGTATGGGCCAAGGTGGGCCTCGAACATCTGACCGTTTGATTCGGAACCGGAGACGTAACAACTTCACCAACGCTCCCTAAGTGGGCAGATGAAGTCAAAATTGTATGCTTTTTAACCAGTGTTGGTATTTGATGGATAAATTGTTAACTGATGGATCACCTTGATATAAAAGATAATGATATAAGAAATTATTTTTTATAATGGTAAATTAAATTTAAATTAACGATAAATAAAATTGCAGTATCTTCGATCAGTTTGGGATAGTTGAGAGGATTTTTTTCGTTGAAGCTTGAGTTGAACATCATATGAGAAAATTCATTAGGTTAAAAAAGTATCGTGCTATCAATGATCGCTCGCCGTAGTTTTTGTCAACGTCCTTCCATTTTGGGTACCTTTGTTTACAAATTGTTCGCCAGATGTCTGTCCTAGTCTGTGAATACGTCTTCGTCTTTCGTTTTGAGGCTTTTGAACTGGTTGAGAAACATTTAAAATATACATTGCAGCAGAACATTAGTTATTCGCTAAAATTCGATCATTTGGAAGAGTTGCATTCTTGTTGTAAGCTGAATGGTGTGAGTTCTGG